ACATTTGTACCCCATGAAATCTCGACAGAATAACAAGCAATTCTGTGATGCTGCAGGCAGTTTTCTCTTCCAGGTGTCTGCAGGGCTGGCCAGCAGCACAACACCCTCGGGTTTCTGCACTGTAGTGACAGGACAAGGAGGAGAGAGTTCACACTGAAAGAAACTTAGGTTGGATACCTAAATTGGATACCTAAAATGGAAAAAATTCCTCCCTGTGAGGGTGGGGAGGCCCTGGCACAGGTTGCCCAGAGAAGCTGTGGCTGCCCCTGGATCCCTGGAAGTGTCCAAGGCCAGGTTGGACAGGGCTTGGAGCAACCTGGGCTAGTGGAAGGTGTCCCTGTCCATGGCAGGGGGTGGGAATTAGATGAGCTTTAAGGTCCCTTCCAACCCAAACCATTCCATGACTGAGCATCACAAGTCACTGATGTCACCCAGGATGCCACTGGTGCCCCCACCCAGGCAGACCAGGCCCTTGGGGATCACCAAATCCACCTCACTCCACCCACCTGATACCTGCTCCTGCCTCTTGCTTTCCCAAAACCAGGGAACCTAACCCCAGGCACAGTAATTAACCCAGGCTGTTGAATCATATTTGAAAACATCCACACCCCCCTCCTTCTCCTGGGAGAGAAAATAAACAGCTTGTCACCATGAAAGATTTATTACTGACTAATGCACACAGGAAACCTGATGCACTAAGTACCAGGGAACACATTCCCAGCCCGGATTCTGTGTGGTCTCAGACCAACAGATCCAAGCAGATTTTATGCTGTTTTGTCTTGTTGTCCATGGGAGGAAAGAAAAGCTGTCACTAAAGGTTTAATCAGATGCTCTCAGAGCTGGAGCCTGAGCTCTGAATGCTGTACTACAGGAAACCCAGGAGCAGCAAGGATCTGATGGGAACCACCCCTGGAAGTGTTCAAGACCAGGTTGGACAGGGCTTGGAGCAGCCTGGGATAGTGGAAGTGTCCCTGCCTATGGCAGGGAGTGGAACTGGATGAGATTTAAGGTCTTTTCCAACCCAAACTCTTCTTGGACTCTGTGACATCTCCCCCAGTGCCTGGTGGCACTGCTCAACTCAGCTTGGGAGTCAAACCAAACTCACATCCACTTGGGGAGCATCCATCAGAGTGGGACACAGACTGCAAGTGCTGGATGATGGATATGTAATGGAAAGATAATATGGAAAAGATTCACTGCAAAATCTCAGGGTCTGGATGATTTTCAAATTGCTTTCTTGCTCGTTCTGGTCACATCTTCAATCGAGGTCCTTATTTCATAACCAAAGGAAAATTAACTGGCAAGACATAAAGAAAAAATATTGGGAGCCTAAAAAAAAATCAGCAGTGTCTGTGAGCCAAGAAATTGATGGAAAATGACAATTAATCTAATGGAGCAGTGAGTCAGAGAATAATGCATGATGGTGAATCCAGAAAACTGCATTATACCAAACAAATTGCTTGGAATCTGCCCATGTATAAAATAAATGGTTTCTCTGCTAAGCCTAATTCTTCCAGAAAGCCCTCAGCTCTCCTTGAGATCAGGTCTCATTTCACATATTCAATATTTCATGGGAGAACAGAGGGGAAATACCCTTCAAATTCTCAGTCACCCTCATTTTTATGTTTGGTCGTGCCAATCATAAATCTTTCAGACCTTTTTCTTTTTCTTCTACAGTTAAAAATTAGGGCCTTTCATTTTGGTACTAGTAAAATTTATATCATGTACCTGTGCCAGATTCAAATTTGTGCTTCAAGCAGGAAAGATCCTCCAGCATTGCCTGGCAAAGGGGAATTTCTCCCAGGATCAGGAAGATTTAGGACAGGGCTATGAATCCAACCTAATTCCCAATTCCTGCTTTTGGAAATCACCAGCCCTGTAGTCAGGCTGGACAAGGCAAAACCCCAACCAACCTACATGGTTTGCCAACAAAACAGAAACCTTGTTCCCTGACCCACCCCAGGCAGGAATTACAGCCCCTCTTTGGAAATCAAACTCCCTCTAAATGTGACCATGTCCCCAGGTGACAATGACAGATCTTTCAGGCATCAGCCACATTTAATGCCTGCAACAGCAAGGATTTACTGCCTTGGGAAGCTGGAATTTTGTCAGTGAATTCCCAAAGCAGGGAGCACTATTCCCTGTGCTCGTGGCAAATAAACACCCAGATAACCACAGGGAACACATCCCAGCAAACAGAGTTATTGAGGTGCAGTAAATTGGTGAGATAAGGGGCAGTGTAACAGGATGGGAAGATAGAAATTTAACTTTCCAAGGAGCATCCCATGTGCTGTGCCAGCAAACGGTGCTCCAGAGGGTAAACAAAGAGCAAGTACTTGTGCAAAGGGCAAAGCAGCTCTGGGGCAGGGCTGCCATGTGAAAACACAATCATCAGACTGATACTGTGATTATGCAAATCTCCACAGGCTGTGCTGGAATAATCAGCCACTTGTGCAGAATCAGCTGCACAGAAGAACTTCCCAAGTTTCCATGGATGGGGGACGAGGTGCAGTCAGGAGGAGGAAGGTTAACTTTCCAACATTCAGCTTTTGGTTTGCAGAGCAAGTTACTGAAGAGCAGCACTGGGAGAAAGGGAGACTTTGCAAGGGGGTGTCACACACCCTCTGCTCTTCTCCACCCAGAACAGAGAATGCCACAAACCCCCCAAGGGACATTCTGCCAGCAGAGCCCAGCTCTTCTCACAGGGGATCTGGAGGAGAAGAGTCCTTATACCAAAGGCAGAAGCTAAAAAACCCATGAGCTCATTCCAGGTGGTGCATCAAAGGTGCTGTCGAGCCTGTGATCTATCTGGAGCTCAGCAATTCTCCAGGCACATCATCTGACATTTAATTAAGGCCAACACCTTTATCATCCAAGCACATCACAGGGTTATTAAGAAGCCCAAATGCCAGTGATGTGGCACTGGGTGTCTGCAAGTGTTTTCTGTGAGATTTGGGCTGTTTGGGTCAGAACTGACTCCTCAGGGATTGTCACTGGAGAGAATCACAGGGGCAAGATCTGCTTTTATGGTTTGTAAAGGCATTTGCACAACCCTACACAACATGGAGCCCTTTTATGGCTCTACCCCAAACATCATTTGTCCAGTGACACAGGACACAACTAAATAACCAGAGTTTGATGTCCCAAACATGAGTCCATTCCTGTTTCCTCATGGCATCCTTCCTGCCCACACCTCGAGGGCCTATGACCACAGACATAGCCACAAATATATCAGCTGCAGTTCTGCTTTCAGGTGTGCTGAGTATAAATTACCATTGCCATGAGGATGGAAAACACATATAATCTGCTTAAATCCCTTGGGATATCAGTGGCATCCATGGCAGGCATCCTTACATTGTACACAACTTGCACCTGAGAGAACACTTAGAAAATCCTACTAATACAATCCACCAGAAGGAAAAAAAAATCTTCTGCTTGGGTTACTGCAGTGGGATTCAAAAGCCCTGGAGTCACAGGTTTCCTCTCTGGCATTTTCCTCTAAGAAAGGACATGCAAAAGCAAACCAAATTAAAATTACCACCTGTGTTTTTTTCCACCTGGTTGGTCTCATTAATTTGGGAAACAAATTGCTCACCCAGGACTGGGGCTTTCTCAAATATCTCCTCTTCAGTTAACATCCAACACAATGGCTCCACGGCCTTAGGACTGGTCCCAGGACATGGAATAGGAAAGTTTAATACCAAATCCTCTGGGAGATCTACCTGACATTACCTTGGAGGCAGCTGCATGAACTCAGGCTTGATTAACTGCTTTACTGTCAGCTAACAGTCACCCAGCTCAGCCTGTGAAAGGACTGCAAAAGGCACAGCAGAAGTTGCAAAAAGATCTGCAGGAAACCCTGATAACATGATATTTTGAATTTCACCACAGAAATAGAAACTTACAATCTAAACATCATTTGTTGCAGGATTGGTTGGGGAGGAGAGAGAGAAAAGAGGAGAGAAAAAGAGGATGGGACATTTGGGAGGATATTTGTGCTAAGATATCTGCACCAGCACAAGCAGTGTTAAAGTACCAGTATGTCTGGGTAAAACAAGCCTAACATACAATCCCTAAGCTCTAAAAATTCATAGCAAGTGTTGTTATGGCATCATTGCAGAAAGCCAGGCTCTCTCCACAGCAAGTAAACAAACACATCCATCCTCAGAGCTGCCTGTCAGCAGGGAGAGGAAAAGGAGAACAAGTCTTGTAAAATCCCTTATCCAATGTATTAGACTTGGGAACTCAGGTATGAAGTAGGGTGAAAGCACAAAGCTCTGGGGCATTTCATGGACTGGTACTTCAGAGCACCAGGAACAATCAATGTGAGGAACAATTAACGAAAGCAAGAGGCAAACATGGAAAATTTGGGATTAGTCATGTTACACACCACCTGCTTAACAGCCAGAAGGCACAGACAAGGGACAACCAGGCCCATCTGTAGAGACTTCTAAATGTATGAAAACAACTGGGGAAAGGATCAGAGCTGCCAGGTGCTACAATAACACAACCAGGGAAAGCAATGGAAAACAACAAACACTTTGTCCTTCACAGCCCTGACCACCAAAGCAGAGATCCACACACCTGGAGATGCTCTGTGCTGCAGCATCACCCTCCAAACCAGCAAATCAACCTCCACTTGGAGTGCCCTGATTTTGAAATGGAAAAATCACCACACGTGTTGGGTTCACACCAAAACACAACAGCAACTTCCACTGTCAAGGAAAGAGCAGCTTGTTCCAGTCCACATTAACCAAAAACCACACAATCATCCCAACCCTTGCTCATGTTTGTGACTATTTGGGCACAAAGCTTTGGAGTGATCTCATGGGAAGCTGAAGCAGGTGTGCAAATGCAACAGGGGTCCAGTTTTCCCTTTGGAAAACACCGGGTTTTAGGGAAGAACTTGGGAAACAGGACAGGGAAAGGACACCAAGGACACTGCAAACCAGGAGGTGGGATGGGCTATAAGGTGGTAGCTGTACATATTCCTCTCTTACCTGCTTCCATGAGCTGGCACTGCTGCCCAAAAACTTGTGAGAAGGTAACAGGCCCTGGTGCAGGGCTGGAGGTCACCGGAGGGGAGTCCATAGTTCTCTCAGCGTCCTCTGTGTTAGTCATGGAGCAGAGCCCAGCAGCTCTGAGAAGCTCCTGTGCCCCACAGATCCTCAGCGGGCAGGAGGAGACCCCCAGGGGACAATGGTGCCTCTCCCAGAACTCCCAGGATGCTCCTTTCCCTCTTTTCAAGGGGCAGGATCAGCACGCGTTTTCAGCTGAGTGTCATCAGTATTTTCATTGGGGAAAATTAAGTGTCTCTGCGTCTCCCAGGTGGTTCTTATTTGTCCTGGGCAGGTCTGGTGGCTTCAGGCACAAATTAGCACCAGGCACTGAGGATTGGCCCCTTCAAGGGTTTCTCCCATGGTTTGAGCAAAGTCATGAGGTTCTTCTCCTCCCGAGGTGTCTAAACCCAGCAGCAGCTTGTCCGTGAGCCCGGGCACATCCCCTGCGGGAACAGGGGAGTTTTCCCACGGCGGGATGCTGGAGCCGGGAGCCTCCGTTCTTCCAACCCTCCCGCTCCGAGGGCCCCGGGGATGCCGGAGCACCGCAGAGATCCTTCTCCGCCTCTTCCCGGGGCTTTGAGCCCGAGCTTCACCTCAGGAGGTCACAGGAGGCTTCCAGGGGACGCAGCCCCCTCTGGGACCGGCGGCCCCGGGGCTGCGGCGGGCGGGCTCCGCTCGGGGGGCTCGGGCAGCTCCCGGCATCACCCCCCCGCCGCTTATCCCTTCCCTACAGCCCGCTCCCCCCTTCCCCCAGCCCAGCCGGCGAGGGGGAGGAGACTGGAGCCACGTTAAATAACATCCTCTGCCCTGCTGCAGTGGCTGCCTGTCCCTCCTCCCTCTGCCCGGATGCAGCGGCTGCTCCCGGAGCGCTCCTGGAGGCGCTTGGAAGTGCTAACTCAGGCAGGGAACAGCGAATCGCCTGCCTTAACCCCCTCCCGGCTGCCTTAACCCTCTCCCGCCCCCCTGCCCGCCGGGATGCTCCAGGGAAAGGTGGAAAGACGCCAGGGCTGGTACCCAAACCCGACCGCGGAGCCCACGGCTCTGCATCCCGCAGGGACGCCTGGCTGGAATTCATTCAGTGTAAAAAAAAAAAATTCCAGGTTTGTTTGCAGGGAAGAGGGACCAAGAGTTAACTCCCAGCAAAGTCTGACACCGCTGATTCATCCTCACTTTAAAAACTCCCTCTGCCAATGCAAGGGATGCTCGCTCCGGGAGCTCCGCATGAATTTGTCCTCCGTGAGTCATCGGAGCTTTTTTTTTTGGGAAGTCTGCTGGGAATGAAGGCTGTTACCTCACGGCCAGGAAAACACACCGTGCCCCGGGTGGAAAGTAGAGACGGTCGGATTAGAGCAGCAGAAAGGCCGGGGCAGAGAATGAGAGGCAGCTGCGGGTCCCCCCAGTGCCGGGGGAGGCAGAGCGGGGATCTCAGCCCCCCTGCAGCCAGAGGAGGCAGAGCGGGGATCTCGGGCCCCCTGCAGCCAGAGGAGGCACAGAGAGAGGAGGATTCACTGCCCAGGGACACCTGGGGAATTCTGAGCAGCGGGAATTGAAGTCACGTCTCCCGGTCTGTGCCGCAGCACAGCTCCCGGGGCTGGGGCGCTGCCCAGAAATTCCCAGCTCGGTCATTTTATTGTATCTGTCCCCAGGTATTACACAGTTTAAGGAAGGACAATTTTACAGCGGGGGTGGGGAGGCTCTGGCGCAGTTGCCCAGAGAAGCTGTGGCTGCTCCATCCCTGTAAACATCCAAGGTCAGGCTGGACAGGGCTCTGAGCAATCCGATCGAGTTGAAGATGTCCCTGCTCATGGCAGGGGGTTAGACTCGATGCCCTTTAAAAGTCCCTTCTAACCCAAACTATTCTATGATTTAAATGGTTTTAGGCTCAGATTTGCTATGGAAGAGTCCAAACAAACAACCCAGAGACTACTTTGCAGGTTTATTTTGCTAAAGACACAAGGAACAATTTCTGTCCTCACAACAACAAAGAGATTCAACTTGACCTTCTGGTTCTTCATATGGAGGAAAGCAAAAATTGGGCCATTTGGTCCACATGTCTTCAACATTCAGATATTCATTCCTGGGGCTGTTTTTTTCCTTCCCAACTCTTTGCCTGTTATTCTCTCTCACCTTGTCCCAGAGCTGTTTGGCAACTTGTCTGCAAAATCCACCAGAGCTGCATCGAGCTCTGAAATATTAAACCATAACTAAAAAAAAAGGGGAAGTAATTATGCAAGAGATTACTTGAAAGTCCCTTTCCCCTTTTTTCTTAGCAAAACTTTTCCAACTTCAAGACTTCAGCAGTTTTAGCTTTGCAGACCAACTCACAGATATGTTTTCCTCCTCCCCAGTTCTAATGTGCATTAGGAGAACACACTGGAGGTTCTTGAAAAGCAAAACAACTCAATAACCTTATAAAACCTTTATTCTGCAGGTGCTCGGGACCCTGTCACTGGAGGGATGGGCACACTGGGGATAAGAGAACTTCCCAGAGAGGGAACAAAGCAAGGAAATGTTCAAGCCTGTTTGATGTCCAGAGGAGCAGCAGTGCTGCCACCACCTCTGCTGCCCTCAGGGTCTGTGCTCTATGTGGGGCAGTGCTTACACAACACAACTCACTTGACAGCCCTGTGCACAGGCTGCTGCCATCAGATCAGCTCAGCCCATGGCCCTGAAAACCAGAGAGCCAGAAAACAGGCCCTTCTGTTTGGGCTGCTCTGGGGGCTGCGCCTGCTCAGCATCCATTGCCTTCTCTCCCAGTGGCACTGGGAGCAGATCAGCAGTGCAGACACACCGAGGCCTTACCTCTGCTCTGGGCACAGGACAAGGGATGCTCTGGTTCAGCCCAGTATATTTTGCTCCTAAGAAATGACCCTCTGTGAGGTACAGAAATGATATTTTCCACATACTTCTCTGCAGCTCAGCTGGATTTTACTCACAAGCTGGCACCTGTGTTGCTGTGCCCAGTCCCACCCAGGATCCAATGCCACATTTCCTCCTCTGGGCTTCTGTGTTTGCCACAACAAGCCGAGGTTTATTTAACCTGTGCAAGGTTCCTTAAGGTCCCCCACGTCCTGCAGGTTCCATGGTGAGCTCCATCAGCTGCACCCTGCACAGAAAATAACTACTAATAGAACAGATAACCTGATAATTTTTCCAAATTGCAATTTCCAAAGCTAATTTTTCCAAAATGGAAAAGGAGGGGCCCTGGGCACCCCCAGCCCACGCTGGCAGCAGCATAGGAGCAGTTCACATCGGGACAGAAGAGCCTTGGAAAGCACCAGCTCAGTGGAGATCTGCTTCTCTTCCATATCCAATTATCCCACTGAACAGACAACAATATGCCACAGGAAAATGTCTGAAAGGGAGAGAAGAAACTCAGCTAAACTCATTACATCAACAGAACAGGCAGTTCATTAGAGTGGGACTTCACTGCTCCAGAAATATCCTGGGCAAGAAATGGGGTTATTCACAACAATGTTCTTGGTAGCAAAGGATTCAGGAATGGGGAAGGGCTGAGGAAAGAACACTCAGATATTGTCCCTAATGAGATGTCAGCAGCTCCCAGTGGTAACGAGGGAGAACTCATTTGTTGTGTGTCAGAAGTCAGAGTTTCACTGGTACAAGGCAGAGACTCTGGAAAATAAAAAAAATAGCACATAAGGATTCTTGCATTTGCTTCCAGCACAGCACTGTCTCAGGGAGGGCTGGCAGAACCACGGGCTGGATCCAGGGGGTGTATGGATGGGATTATTCCCCAGCAGACAACACCACTGAGATCAGCTCTGGAATGCTCCTGCCCTTCTGCTGCCTGTGCCTTGCAAGGCAAATGGAGTTTTGCAGGACTCACTTTGAAGCAATGCACTTAAGGTTTGGCATCACAGGCAGCAATTAAACATATTTCTGCCTTCTTTCAGATTACATCTCCATCAGCTCTTGGCTGAAAGAGAATTTTGTTTGGTTGAGTTTTATTCTTCCTGAAAAAAAAAGTCTGAAAGGCACAGAAGAAAATGACCTAAGTCATGCAGAGAGAAAAAAATCCTACTCTAAAGGACTCAGAGGATATTTTGGGTGGTTTATCAAAAGTAAGGCTGAAGTATGGCTTAATTAATGTATAAATATCCTCGTAGAACAGAAATAACAACTCTGAAAGGACTCTAATCAGTCAGTGCTGGGCACAAATACAAGCTGAACTCAGTTACAGACAGTACTACAGGAAATAATCTGGATATTTCACTTCTCAAGGTTAAATGAAGAGCATTCCTGAATCAATGCACCCCAGGTAAGCCTGAACCACTGTACATGATAGAGGAACCCACGAATGAAATTCAGGGAGTCTGTCAGTTAAAAACTCCAGCTGTAGGAAAATTCAATATATAAAGGAAACATATTGTGCAGATGACAGGATGGGAGTTTAATAATAAACACCATGTTTTATAGCCCACATTTTCTGGTGTGATGTTGGTCCCCACAGAAGTCTGAAGCCCGGGGCTTCAGCTGGAGGGGTGGAGAGGCCCAGAGAAGTTGACTTTAGGTGAGGAGGGGATGAGCCTGGAGTTCACACCCTCTCACAGCTCCCTGTGCAGCCACTGACACCGGCACAGCAAGGGCCAAAAAAATTAACAGAATGGAAACCAAGCAGCTGGAGGCAAGGTGACCCAGAACTTAGCAGAGCAGTACAAAAAGGGGGTGGGTGGGAGATATTTGCATTAGTACTTCATATCTGGAGATATATGAAATATTTCCAGAGCTGTCTAATCTCTAACAACTGCCTTCCCTTCTTCCAAGGCAGCTGCAAAGGAAGACATGAACCAAGTGAGGCACGGGCTGAGCTCCCCCTGCCCCGGAGCCCCAGGTGGCCCCTGCTCTGCCTCCCTGGGAATGAGCCAGGATTGTTCAGGTTGCTGGGCCACAAGGTGCTGTGCTGTTCTGTGCTGTGCTGTGCTCTCAGCTTCCAGGGAGCTCATCCCTGCCCTGCTGAGGAGGCTCAGCACTGCCCGTGCCAGCCCTCGGGGCCCTGGGGGAGCATCTGCGGGGTCACCGCCCCAAGGGGACCCACAGCCTCTGAGCAGTGACCTTGGCTCCATGTGAGCCAGACACCCCCAGGGAAAGGCTCAAAGGCTCCACTGCTCCCAGGGAAATGGGAACAGAACCCAGGGAAATGTTGCTCAGCAGCTCTGGTGCTATTTTCTTCCCCGGCTGTGCCTCACGGGGGAGCTCAGGTGTGATGTGCTCATGCCCTCCGTGTCCAGTTTTCTCCTGAGCATAAACAATCCTCTGTGTGTCCTACAGCCCTGAAAGAGTATTTACAATTAGCACTGGCATCAAAGACTGAAATAGCCCACTGGGTTTCCTAACTGGGATTTTGGGAGGGGATCCTGCCACCAGCAGTCGTGTTGCCTGCACCCTTCTGCCTCCTGGCAGCTGCCAGCAGTGGCACACGGAGCTGAACAGCACCAAGGCAGTGGCTTCATCATGAGAGAGTGTTCCTCCTCACCTGCTTTTGAATGCAGTCTTGTCCCAAAAAAGCCACAGCTCTGATAAAAAGGAGTAATTAGTGCAGCTTCATGTGACAGCGCAGACAGATGAATGAAGGCACGGAGCTATTTAAAGAATATTTCAGAGGGTTCTCAGGCAGGGACAGAGTGACAGTTCAGCACAGTCCCATCCCTCAGAACTCACCTGAAGCTGGATGGCAGTGAAGCCAAACAGGCTGTGACACTGCAGGAGGAGCCTGTTAAGCTGCTGCAGGCACTGACTTGTGACAATGACAACAGTGTTTTTTCCCTCACACGTCAGATTTGTAATGCCTAAGGAACCTTCAGGTTTTCCTGGGCAAAAGAGCCATTTTTAGCCTATGTGAGATCAATCTTAATGCCTAT